TCCTTTCGGCTGCCCGGAAGGCTCGGCGCCGTGCTCCTTGAGGAAAATGCCCTACCACTCGTACCTTATCTCTCGCAGGCCCCAGTGACCCAGGTGCCTCCCGAATCCAGTCGGCGGGCTGAACTTATTCGGGCACCCGTTCTTGCCGTCCTTCATGAGCTGCCCGCGTGCGCGCCAATGGCGCCTGGCCTGGGTGCTGATTGCCATCTTCGGCCGCCGATTGAGCCCCGTGAAGCCCGTGTTGCTCCTCTCCGAGACCTTTCCTGGTTCGTGGGCGGGGCCCTTCGCGTTGTTGACCTTTTTGAGGTTGACGCTGTTCTGCATGGCCGGGCATTCGGCGTTCACCTTCTCGCGGCTGGCCAGCTTCTTCTTGAAGGCGGTGGTGTCCTTGAAGTCCGGGTCGGTCCTCTCGGCGCCGGTGGCTCCGCAGTCGGCGCCCATCTGGATGCCCCCCCTGTCCATGACCAAGGCGTTCTCCACCTCGGCGAGCAGGCCGCGCCACGTTGGCGCCATGGCCCCCGCTCGGAATCGACGCGCAACCTCCGCCAAGGTGCCGTCGCGAGCTGCCTGGCGCGCAGCTGCCACCCTCTGCTCCTCGGCGGCGCCCGGGCCCGCCACTGCGCGCTACTCCGCGGCCTGGCATCTCAGATCCCCGAAGAACCGCCCCGGGCCCAGGTCCACAGCTGCAGCTGCAGCAGCTGGCCGCGACGGCGGCCCCGAAGAGCGCGAGGCCTCCTCGCCCGGCGGCAGACGTCCGCCCACTAGGTCCCATTCCTCGAACTCCTCGTCCGAGATCCCGTGTATTTCCGCTAGTTTCCATGCCTCCTGCGGACCGCTCGCAGCGAAAACTCGCGTCGGAACGCGCACTTGGCGCAAATTGCCTCGGAGACCGGGGGCGCGATGTCAGATGTCGGCGCCCGAGCTCTTCAGATCCCGCAACACACGTTCCCAAAACCTCCGCGATAACCGGAACAAGTTTCGGAGCCCCAAGACCGCGTCCAGGTTCCGTTTCGCGCCTATGAGGTTGATCATGACATGCTATCTAACTTGTGGGGATACTGGCGTTCATGGCCTGCTCTATCCCGCTCAGGGCGATGGTGATGCTCATGGCATGCTCGTCTTCGCTCGTACCGCCGTCGATCTCGAAGTCGTCGTGCTCGTTCCAATCTCGTGTAATCTGAAACCTCCTGGAGAATTGCCGTGGTTCTCGAACTCCTGACCGCGGTCTTTGTATCTCCTGACTTCTAGATATCTGAGAGGAGCTTCTGGATCTCCCGGGTTTTCCCGGGGCGGATTGAGAACTGCCCCCCCCCCCCCCCCCCAATGTCTCCGGCGCCGTCGCCGCCCGCGGCTGGGCCCCGCCAAAGCGCAGGGAGAGCGCAGTGACGGCGCAGTGCGAGCTGGAGAGCCTCGCCGCTGGCCCCTCGTGGCCGTCCGCGAACACGAGCGGGGCCTCTCTTTGATCAGGTCAGCCCCAGCCTTCTCGAGGTGGTCTAGCCGCAACAACATCAGCGACAAGGAGGTCGAACCACAACTTGTTGTCGTCTTCTACGAGGGCCACAGGATGCTCGAACCCGAACTTCCCGATGGACTGGCCCTTCTCGCCTCTGGCGCACGTGAACTTCGTCTTCTTCACGTAGTCAATCTCGACCTGGTCCTCGCCAATATTCTGGATGATGGTGTCCTGAATCGAGGTGGCCAGGTCAATCCCAATCATGCTCTTCGAAGCTCCGGTGTCGATGATCGCGAGGCCCACCATCTCCTCGTGCACCCATCTGGCCTGACCGTCTTCTGGCATGTTCCCCTCGTTGCTGTAGTTGGACGCGTCCGCTTCTTCGGCACCCACAAAGCCGTGGCTCGCCATCTGCACGTCGTTGCTCTCGTTGCCCGCGTTGCCCCTTCTTGGACAGTCCACCGCTCGATGAGACCCCTGGCAAATCAAGCACTTGATGCCCTTGCCCTTGCCCTTGGGGGGTCGCCTATGGCCGTGAGGCTGTGGAGGAGGTGGTGGTTGAGCCCGTCTTTCTCCTCCTCGTGGTCCAGGTGGTCTCGGAACCATGAGTGCCGCCTTCGCCGTGGTCCTTGTCTTCAGGTCCCTCAACTGCTTCTCTGGAATCTGTCCGATCCCGATCACCAGGGAGTGCCCACTCCTGTTCTTCACGGCCTCCGCCAGCAGCCTTTTCGCCTCCGTGAACGTCCTGTGGGCGTCCTGCGCGCGCACCTCCGCATACTCGGCGTAGGCCTCCAACGTCTCGGTGTCCCCCCCATCGACCTCCTCCTCCTAGTTCGCCTCTGCTTCGGCCACTTCGTTTTCTTCTTTCTTGAAGTCGTCCGGCTCCTCCTCGATGTCGTCCTCCTGGTAGTTCACCCTGGACCTCTCCCTTCGAGCATCTCGACCTCCTTGAAATCGTTGCTCTCTCCTCCGTGCGGCTATGTTGTCCCTCGCGTTCAGGTCCTTGTCTGCCCACGCGTACTTCAACTTGTCGATCGCAGTCTCGATCTTCCAGTCGTGTTGGCCCGCCACGACCGTGGCCCTTTCACTCGGGTCCAAGTTCGCGCTCACCAAAAACATGATGCCGCTCAGCGCGTCCGGCATGATATCCATTGCTTCCAGATCCGGGCAGATTGCCCGAACGCTCTTCTCCATCTCCTGGTAGGCGTCCTCCTCCTGCTCCGCGTAGAGGCCGGTCGTCTGCCCAAACTTCCGCACCCTCAGTCCAGCCGTCTTTGGGTTGTAATCGTAAGAAAAATGTGTCGACGAGTCGCTCGATGATTGCTGGCCGAAGCTCTTCTGAAAAAGCCCGGATCCGGATGTCTGGGCCCTTCTCGCCTACGATCGAATCCGCCTCGTCCTCTACTCGCGGTAATAGCAGGGCCAGCTTCCTGTGCGCGGTATTATTCGGTAGCGCCTGCACCAGTCATGGACCGAGCAACTTCCTGTCGTCGTCCTTTGTCCCCAACGTCAGAAACTCCACCTCGGCCTGATACTCATCTGGTGTCTCCGCTTTGCCGCCCCACGTAGGAATCCTCTGAAACGCTACGTTTTGGCCCGTGCTCGATGACGCCATCGATCGCCATACTCACTGAAACCAAGCCACGCACTACCAATCTCGTGTCGTTCTAGTCGGGGCTACTCGCGAGAGTTGTAAGAATCAGATGATCGCGAAATCAACTTCAATGAACGAATTAATATGGAAATGAGTCGGCTCTCTTTTCCTCTAGGCTCGCAACCGAATCAAACTACAATTCGATATGAAACCCGCGCGCAGAACGCTCGAACACTGAATGGAAGCACGGATAACGGGCCTCGGGAATATCACAGGAATTCTGTTCCTAAGCCTGGTTTCTACGACAGAAAGGGGGAGGGGAAGGTAGGAGGAGGAGGAGGAGAAGGAGGAGGAGGAGGAGGAGGAGGAGGAGAAGTGGGGAGGAGGAGGAGCAGGAGGAAGAGGAGGGAAAGAAAAGAGGAGAAGGAGGAAGAGGAGGAGGGGGAGGACGAGGAGGTCGGGGAGGAGGAAGAGCCTGCTTATGAGCCTCGGCCGGTCGCGCCGAGGCCCACCGCGCTCTCGGCCTCGAGGCCAGGCCCAACGGTTCCTCTTGCTACGCCATCTCTGCCCGACAGCGGAGGGCCAGAGAGGGGACGGGTCCTCGAGCGCGGGCAGTCGGCACCACGCCCGCGCGGCACCACCTCCTGCTCCACTGCCACCCCCTCCTCCTCCTCCTCCTCCTCCTCCTCCTCCTCCTCCTCCTCGTCCTCCTCCTCCTCCTTCCTCCTCCGCCTCCGCCTCCTGATCCTCCTCCGCCTCCTCCTCCTGGTCATCCCTCCCTCCTCTGCTCCCGCCCCCTCTCTTCCAACCTCCCTGCCCCCCCATCCTCCCCTCCCCGCCTCCCTCCCCGCTCCAGCAGCCCCCCTCCCTGCGCCCTGCTGCCCCCCAGGTCCCCGACCCGCGCGCCCCTCCTGCGCCCTCCCTGGTCACCCTGCGCCCTTCAACTCCTTGCCCTCTTCCTCCTCCTCGTCCTCCTCCTTCTCCTCCTGCTCCTCCTCCTCCTTGCCCTCCTCCTCTTCATTGCCCTCCTCCTCCTTCTTTCTCCCCCTCCTCTCCCACCCTCCTTCCTCCTTCCTTCCTCCTTCATCCTTCCTCCTTCCCTCGTTCCCTGAACACTGCAAGCCCCCGGTCGTGCAAACACAACCGTGGACCCTCATTCCTTCAAGACTATCAAGAACATGCCGAATACGATGTACTTGCAGTGGCAAGGCAGTCTGGTGGTACCAGGAAGCACCAAGGCCACATACAATACCAACACTGGGGACGCACCCGCTTGCCCAACAGGAGAAACATAAAGTACATTCATTCCACCGGAAGGCGAAACCGCACGGCGAGCACCTTTACCGCCACATGCAGTCAGACGCCATGAGAAACGTCCAGACCAGGAAACGGCACAGCTTCATCCTTTGGCGCAGCAACTCCAGGGCATTGGAGGCTTGACGACGGCGGCAGCCACCAGCATCCAACCCTTCGCCACCAGCAAGCCAGAGACGTATACCCTTGCAGCCGAGAGCGAACTTCACGACCGAGGGGCCGCCCGCGACAGCACCACGGGGCAAGACCATTGCACCAAAGGCGCAGACCCGAGGGCCTCGAGAAAACCAGCCGCGCTATTTTGGCCAAGACCGAGACCCCCGAGGGGGGACGGCCTTGAGCCAAAATGGCTACGGACCCGCTTTCCTCCTACTCCTCCTCCTCCGTCCTCCTCCCTCCTCTCCTCCGTCCTCCTCCTCCTCCTCCTCCCTCCTCCCTCCTCCCTCCTCCCTCCTCCCTCCCTCCTCCTCTCCTCCTCCTCCTCCTCCTCCTCCTCCTCCTCCTCCTCCTCCTCCTCCTCCCTCCTCCCCCCTCGCCCTCCTGCCTCCTCCCTCCTCCCTCCTCCTCCATCCTCCCTCCTCCTCCCTCCTCCTGGCCCCCCGCTCCCCCGCCGCTCCCGCGGCGTGGAGCCCGCGGGGCCTGACCGCCTTCAGCACCTGGAGGGCGCGCGGGGGGGGAAGGGCAGCACACGCGAGGGGGGGCGTGCTACTTAGTGGGCCCTGGAAACGACAAGGCAGTTTTTGTTACCGGTTCCGTTTTGCCGTTTTTTCGCCGGTTCCGACGCCGTTGTTTGACCGGTTCCGTCGCCGTTTTCTGACCGGTTCCGGCTCCGGGTCCAATCCTGGAGCCGTTTTTTGGCCGTTTCCGGTCGCCGTTTTGTCTGCCGTTTCCATTTTCAAGGGACATGTTTTGGAAACTGTGAAAGAACGGCCCCCTGCCGTTTCGGTGGCCCAAAAGGGAGCACAAGGGGGCGCACAAGGGGGCAGGGGGAGGGGGGAAAGCTTCTGGGAAGGAGACTGCTCCTTAGAAGGGGCCAGCCCTACGTCTGCAGAGAAGGCCCGCGCCTTCTAAGGAGCAGGGGTGCTTCTTCTCAGAGGCCTTCACCCCTCCACCTACCCCCCTCTGCGCGTGACCGAACTGTGACAAAGCACGGCCTCAGAGATCTTCAGACGAAGGCTGAATTTTGGGTGACCCAAAAGGGGGTCCAGCTGAAAGGGGGTGGTGCAATAGATTTTGTGCCATTGTATTGCAGATGTACTGCCCTGGAGAATTGTATTGCATTGTGTTGCAAGGAGTGCGTTGCACGCGAAAACCCAGCACTACATTTCCGCCCTGGAACGTATTGCATGCCCCAAATGTATGACAACCCCGCAAATATATTGCACCACCCCCTTACCGCTGGACCCCCTGTTGGGTCAACCCGAATGCACCGCCCTGGAGAAGCAACTGCAACGAAGCCAAGCAAGCAGGCAAGCAGTCCTATGATTCACCAGAGAAGGACCCCGAAAGTCAGGCATCATTCGTCAGAAGAAGCGGGGTCGCTGCCACATAAATTCGGGTGAAGACGAGGATAACATCGGGTGAAGAAAAATCTGGGTGAGGATAAAATCGGTTGAGATCTGGCGGCTCTGGAGGATGCATCGGGCGCCGCGGCCTTCCCAAAGCGTTCCAGAACGCTCTGGAACGAATACACCTCGCCCCAGTCCCGTCCGAATAATGCAGCTTCAATCGGCGATTTTACCAGGGGATATGTCGACCCCTATCCCAAGCTTCGTGCCATTTCGAATGGACCAAGATTCGGGGGACCAAACCTGGGATATACGATAGGGGGCGTAACCACCCTGGGGTGTATCCAAGAGTTTCCCCCTTTCTCCGAGAGGCCAAGCTCTTCGGGCGGAACTCGGGGACTGGGGTAGAACAATCGCCTGTGAGATTTGAGTGTGTTCGTCCGCAATCGGTGTTTCGTCGTGTTTGGCCTCGAAAAAACGATTTCAAGCCTGGGGACCGGCAAACACGGACGCAGGATGAAAATCTATGACACGGCCCGCAACAGTTGCATTACTTGTCCAGGGTGTGCAGTGGAAGCCAAAAGTTAGGTCGGGCATGTCCTCCTACAGTCTAAAAGTAAGCAATAATCGAAACTAGTCAAGCATAGTCAAAAAGAAAAGTAAACATAGTCAAGAAGTGCTCAAACATAGCCATAATCATTGTCCCAATACTACTTTTGGACTATTTCTGAATCCTCCTTATGTAGATGGGGCATGCCCGACGTACGCCAAAAAGGGGAGGTACCAGAAAGCGCAGCGCGGAGGCGCCGAGAGCTCGAGGATGCATGTTTTTTGTAGGTGCTTCTGTTGCCAGCCCTGCGGCTATCCCCGAAGACCTGAAGGGGAGGGACCCTGAGATCCTGGCGTCTCAATCTGCTTCGAGCGGAGCGTCTTCGCAATTTTTTGGGCCCCGGGACCTTCACAGATCGATCCGGCTCGAGCAGAAACATAAAAAAATTTGGTCCAGGGCTCCGGGCGTCAGTTCTACGATGCTGTTTTTTTCGCTACGTTGGATCTCAGGGGAAGCGGCGGGGGGCGGGAGAGAGGGAACACGGAGGGATGGATGGACATTGCGGGAATGCATCGACCCCCCAACTTCCCATGGATCGCCGATGCGGGTCTGACAGCCCCACCCCGCCCAGGAAGGTGCGGCTTCCCGCTCGGGGCCCCATCGCCGAACCATCGGCGATGCATCGCAGCAGACTCAAGCTCGATGTCTCCCCCCCAACAGAGGAGCGAAGGGGGGAGGGAGGGAGGAAAACAGGGGGGAGGGGGAGGGAGAGGGGGAACCAGAGGAAGGGAGAGGGAGAGCCGCAGGAGACTCGGAGAAGGGGGAGCCAAAAGGGGGAGGGAGAGGGGGAGCGAAGGGGGAACGAAGAGGGAGGGAGACGGGGAGGGACAGGGGGACGGAGGGGAAGCCGAGGGGAGAAGCGAGGGGAGAGGGAGCAGAAGGGAACCAGAGGAAAGTGAACCAGGATGGGGAAACAGGGGCGAAGGCCCCACTTTGCGAGGCTGGGAAGGGGGGAGGCCGGGGGGGGAGCGAGGGTGAACGCGGAGGAGGAAGACAGAGGAGGACCGAGGCGAACGAAAGCAGGAGGCATGATGAGGGGGACAGAAGATGGAGGAACACCCTAAGAAATATTCAAGAAGCCCCCCGATATTTCTGCACCGCGTTAAAAAACACGTGGGCGATTTTGGCGGAATGATACTTGTAACCGCGCCAGCAGCGAAACCAGCAAAAAATCCGCCCACCCCAGGCTCGTTTCCAAAATCTAGTTTGCGTCTTGGCGCCGCGCGCATGTACTGAGAATATCGGTGCGAGTTTCACGGGTTGAACGCGGAACGGGTTTCAAAATTTTGCTGTCGCCTCAGCGCCGCGCCCATTCGTTCAAAACATGTGCACGGATTTCACGGATGAAGGCCAGTTCGGTTTCAAAATCTGACTCTCGTCTTAGCGCCGCGCGCATTCGTTTTTTTTTTCAACGATGTGTGCGAGTTTCACGGATTGGTAGCGGCCGTTTGGCTTTAGCGCCGCGCACATTCTTTTGAAACGCTGGCACGAGCTTCGCGGATGGAGGGAGGCTCGGTTTCAAAATTCAGCTCTCGCCTCAGCGCCGCGCGCATTCGTTCAACCATGTGCACGAGCTTCACGAATGGAGGGCGACTCGGTTTCAAAACCTAACTCTCGCCTCAGCGCCGCGCGCATTCGTTTCAACCATGTGCACGAGTTTCACATATTGAACGGCCGTCTGTTTAAATCTAGTTTTCGCTGCAGCGCCGCGCAGACTCGCTTTACAAACGTGTGTGTGCTTTACGGATTGAAGGCGGCTCAATTTCAAAATCTAGCTCCCGCCTCTGCGCCGCGCGCATTGGTTTTTGAAACATGTGCACGAAATTCACGGATTGCAAGCGCCTCGTTTTCATGATCTAACTGTCGCCTCGGCGCCGCGCGCGTTCGCTTTCTTGAGTTTGCACGAGTTTCACAAAGCGAAGGCGGCCCGATTGCAAAATCTAGTTTTCGCCTCAGCGCTGCGCACATGGTAATGTGTACATAATTATATATATACATATATATATATACGTATATAGCTACACACGTATATATATATATATATATATATATATATATTAGGCTGCATTGGCGCTGCGCGCCATGTACCTTGGTCCTCTGAGTTTCGCACGCATTCGGGGTGCTTGCGTGCGTACATGCGCGCACACATGCATACACCCGCACGCGCATGCACACTTGGCATATATGTATGTGTGTATATATACATACATATATCCACCACACATGTATACTGTGGTAAAATGTGTATACATAGTACAAATAAGCATGTGTACGTATATGTATATGCCAATCGCAGGTGCTTGTTGGCGCACGAACATATATGTCATTCTGTGTGCGCATACACATGCGTATCTCAGGCGGTAATGGCCCGACCGCCTACTCAAGGCATCTCGCAACTCAGAGGTACGAGGGTCTCAAGCGAAAGTAGCCAAACTACTACGGGGCAATGCATCTCCGATGTCAGCGTTACGAGGATGTTTCAAGCGAAGCTGAACGGACCACCTCAAGTGAGGACATACCCGAACCCGGAATTGCGAGGATGTCTCAAACAAAAATGGCCTGAACACCTCAGCTCAGGGCATCCCTGAATCCAAGGTTGCGAGGATGTCTCAGGTGAAAGCGGCGGACACTCTGCGGCAGGGCATCTCGGAATCCAGAAGGGCGAGGATGTTTCTAGCGAAAGTGGCCGGAACACCTCAGATCAGGGAGCCCCGGAACCCAGAATTGCGAGAAGGTCTCAAGCGGAAGTGGCCGGACAACCTTGAGGCAAGGCTTCTCTGCGGTCAGAGTTGCGAGGATGTCTCAGCCGACGATGGGAAGGAGGAAGGCAAAGGGAAACAGTAATGGGAGGAGTCTCGCGGACCCGGGGACAGGCAGGCACGAACGCTCAGTATCGGAAGTCATGGCACGGAGGCTGGAACTGACGCGGAGGCAAGACGCTGGGAGCTGGCCTCCGAGAGCGTTGAAATACATGAGGACCTGAGAGGGACTCAACGACGGGCGCCACCAGAACCTTTCTGGGAAAAATCTGGAGGCCTTGTGAACGTATCGGGGTGCTACGTGTTTGATTGCTACGCGGCAGGGCGTATCCGAGGTTGACGTTACGAGGATGTCTCAGGCGAAACTGGCCCGAACACTATGGGGCAGGGCATCTCCGAAGTCAGCTGTGCGAGGGAGTCTCAAGCGAAGAGTGGTCTGAACACCTGAGGCTAGAAGGTCGAAGAACCCCCTTGCAAGAGCGTCCGAGCAGCCCCCGGGGAACTTTCCAGCAGATCGAACAGCCCGGGAAGGGGCTTCCCAGCAGCCCGGGGAGTCCGAAATGCGTTCGGGGGGGGATGTGCGTGCACATGTAAATTTATTTTGCGTATGTATGCATGTACATGTGTATTTATGTAAGTACGTATGGATATCAAATGACAATGCCTTCCAACGTCTGAACGTTCCAAGAGCGTTTGACGCTCGTTTCACACGGTAATTTATTGTTAAACGATCTACATCCGAGCAACAATTGCTTTACAAGGAAATTCTATGTAAAACACTCTTGGACCGTCTTGGGCCGTTCGTGACCCGAAAAAACGAAAACCGACAAAAACTTCAAACTTCTTCAACAAATCAATGAATGTTGCCTCTTTGGGCCTTCTTGAGAGCCCCTTTGCTCCGTTTTGGAGCTCTCTTGGGCCGTTTTGTGGCCCTTTCGGGCCGTCTTGGGGCGTCTTGGAGGCCTTCGGCCGTCTTCGGGCTGTCTTGGGGGCCTCTTGGGGCCCTCTTGGGAGGCTCTCTTGGAGCCGTCTTGGGGCTCCCTTGGTAGTTTTCGGGCCCTCTTGGGCCGTCCAGGGGCCCTCTTGGGACGTTTTCGAGCCCTGTTGGGGGCCTCTGGGGCCGTGTTGGGACGATCTTTGGAGCCTCTTGGGCCGTCATAAGCCGCTTTTGCATCGGAAAAGCGAAAACCGAAAAAGCCTTCAAAAACCAATGAACAACCAATGAATGTTGTCTCTTCGGGCCCTCTTGAGAAGCCTCTTCGAAGCCTCTTGGGGCGTTTGGAAGCCATGCTGAAGGCTTTGGTGTGCATTGGAACTGTCGACGAGCTGTCTTGAGCAATATTGGAGGCCTCTTTGGACCTTCCGAGAAGGCCAGAAGGCCGAAGGAACCCTTTTGCAAGGGCGTCCGAGCAGTCCGGGGGGGGCTTCAAGCAGCCTGGGGAGTCCGAAATTCGTTAGGTGCGGGGGAGGGGCGTTTTTTCCGGGGTCCCCGGCCCTATACAAATATATCAATAAGAAGGGTTCAAAATCTAGCTCTCGCCTCAGCGCCGCGCGCATTCGCTGTGCGAAGTTGCACGAGTATCGCGGATTGAGGGCGATTCGGTTTCAAAATCTAGTTCTCGCTTCAACGCCGCTTCGAAAAGTCTGCTGAATATCATTCATACAGGCATGCCAGGGCTGAACCTAAACGGTGTTTTTCTCGTTCTAGTTATGTTGTCGTTTTCCCTCGCTTTTGTCTCGAACCCGCCCTTACCGCAAAACGAAATCGAAACGAAACCGGCCTACGAAATCACCAGAAACACCGTGCAGGTCCAGCCCTGAGGCGTGCTGATAGCGGCATCGCGCATTCCGCTGGACTCGAAATGCCATTTTGTAGTAGCTCTCCGAGGGGCACGTGACAAAACCGAGTGAAGCGTGTTCGCAGCGCTAGGCTTACGTCGGGCGTGTCCTCCTACAGGGGGATTTCCCGACGAAAAATATACTCAGAAAATACTCCAACATGGTGAAAAATGCTAAACAAAATCGTCCCCAGAGCATGTTTTGACAATTTTTGAATATTTCCCCTGTAGAGGGACACGCCCGACTTAACGCTAGGCGCTGGGCCCAGGCGCAGGGGCACGTGAAGACACGATCGAGATGCGCCCTCACGGCTGCGACGGCGCCGTTTCGGCGTACCCCTCACGCATTTCCTCGCCGATTTTGCTCCAGGACGCGCAGGGATACGAGTGAGCAACGCCTTCGTGGCTATGACGCTGTCGTTTCGGCCCACCCCTCACTCAAGGGCTCCCAGCCTCGCGCTCCGCGCTGCGCGAAGCGCGAACAACTTCGCGCTCCCGCGCCGCCCCCCAGGGGAGAAGAAGAGGAAGAGGAGGAATCGAAGCCGAACCGCGAAGCGCGAATAACTTGACTTATGACGAAATCTGGAGTACACCGACACCGTTTGCCAGGCAGCCGTCGGACCAAGATCCTGTGTCGGGGATGGACAGACCTCCCTTTCGCAAAACGTGGTTTAGTGACAGCGACCCGAGGCCCAAAACTGGCGGGCGCGAGCCTGGAAAATAGCGGCCACGGCGCCATCTCGAGAACCGAGAAGGGACAATCCACTAATCGACGTGTCACTGTTGGGGGTTCTGCCCTCGAGGGCGCCCTTGTCACTCACGACTCCCGTGGGAGCCGCGCTGTCGCTCGCAATGCCCCTGCAATTTCCTGCTGCACCGACCCGTCCGCGCCCCGCCCGGTCGACCCCCGCAGGTCTGGAACCCCGCCCGCTCGCGCCCCGCCCCGCCCCGCCCCCGCGGGGGCTCTGCCGCTTTGCGCACTCCTGCTCCGGACCCCCCCCCCCCCCCGGATCTTGCAGATCTCTCTCGTGCTCCGAGCTTCTCCCTGCCCCGCGTCTCTCCCCTCCTCCCTTCCTCCTCGGGGCGTACATAGGCAAGCGGTTTCGAGTCATAACCTGGCGAGAATCGCCAGGAGTGTCCCAGGCTTCTCTCGTGCTCCAAGCTTCTCCCTGCCCCGTGTCTCTTCCCTCCTCCCTCCCTCCTCGGGGCGTAGAGGCAAGCGGTTTCGGGTTATATAAACTGGCGAGGATCGCCAGGAGTGGCCCAGGCTTCTCACACGGACGAGCTGATTGAACTGCCCCCAGAGCTCGATTCCGATTCCTCCCTTCCCCTGTGTTAGGGGCTGCGCCAATTACGCGCAGCAGGCAAGGAAGCTCTACCAGCAAGGGGGTGCGATCGAGGACGAAGAGGGCGGGCATCGGCGGTGAGGATGTTGTTCATGTTGCGTGACACGCGGGCCAACAAGAGCGAACAGTCTCAAAATGACTGTAGCTGTAGAGAGGCCCATTTGCCGCAGAGGCGCGGTGTTCGACACTTGACTGGGTCAAGCCCCGTCCGTCCACCATGAACTCCTTCCGATCACCATCGCGGCCACCGAGGCACCTTTTCTCTTCCTCTTCCTCTTCGTCAGTCCCTCCTCCTCTCTGGTTCCTCGATCCTTGCTCCTCATACTCATAATCCTCATCTTCAATCTCCTGCCCTCTTCCTCCTCCCCCTCCTCCTCAACCGCCTCCTCCTCCTCTGCCTCCAACCCCCCCACCCTCCTCCCTCCTCGTTATGGTTCTTCCCTCCCTCCCTCCCGCTCTCCCTCCCTCCCTGTTCGTTCTATTTCCTCCCTCCCGCCCTCTCTCCCCTCCCTCCCCCCTCGGCCGAGCCTCCAGGTCTGCCAGGTCGCACTCGCCCTTCAGCGGCCCAGCGGCCTTGGGGGGCCGCGCGGGGGAGGATTTTTTTCCTCCGCAATCCCAGGGGGCAGGACCAAGCACGCCTTCGTGCACGACAAAGGCCCAGCCAGCAAGAGAGACTCGCCAGCTGGGACAACAAATGAACTCACACGACGGGAAGCTACAGGATGAGGGAGGAGGGAGGGGACGAGGCGGAAGAGGGTGTGGGAACAGGAGGGGGCCGAAGAGGAGGGGGCCGAAGAGGAGGACGGGGCGGAAGATGGGGGCCAAGGATTGAGCAGGGACCGACAGTCCCGGCATTCCTTTAGGCCTACCACGGGATGTTCTCCGAACACGCAAATGTTCTAATGACAAATACAACGTTCTTAGAACACAAGCCTGATGCGTTCAAACAAGACCGTCTCGGCCAGACATGTGCTAAGAACACTTCGTGCAGACCACAACAAGTTCTTGGAACACTATTTGGTGGGCCTATCGGCGAGCCAGGACGCTTCGCCACTGGTTGAAAAGAGGAGGGTGTGGGGAGGTCGGGGGAGAGGGGGGTCAGGGGGTCAGGACAAGGGGGGTCAGGCGGCCGTACGCCCGATGGCGGGGGGGGGGCAGGGAGGGAGGCTGGAAGGCGCGCAGGAGACGCGGAGAGACGAAGGGAGAAGAGGACGATGAGGAAGATAGGCTGGAGGGGGGGAGCATTGACGAAGGGCAACAGGAATCGGGCTTACGGTCGGACCTAGGACAGAAGAGCATCCTTCAGGAACGTGAGGCCCTCCGCCGGCCCATGCCGAAGAACATTCGAGGGTGCCCTCCCCGAATCGAACTCGGCCTTGTACCTCGGACCGCTCCTACGCCTCGAACGCACTGCCGTGGGGAATGTGGGTTCTAGTTTGCTGGTTTTCCATAGCTGAGGAACAGCGACACCCAAGCATGCGACGTCCTGCTTTTTCAAAACGCGGTCCCCCAAAATCCCGACACTTTCCTTAAGTCGGGCCTGTCCCCCTACAGGGGGATGTTGGGCGAAAAAAACATGCAAAAAATACAACCCAATGGGCAAAAATAGTCAAAAATGGTCCCCAGACTATTTTTGGACTATTTTTGAATATTCTCCCTGTAGAGGGACAAGCCCGACTTGACACTCTCCCCGAGGGCCAGCTTTTTATCCCGAGCCTCTTCTTGACGATCCCAGGGCCAGGTGAGGGCCTCGAGAGGCCGATCACGGAGAAAAACGCCCGTCTCGGCGGTGGACAAACAATTGTCAACAACTCTTCTCCAGACTATCTAAAAACTACTTGTGAAGATTCCTCCTGTAGAGGGACATTCCCGACTTAAACCTAGAACCTCGAAGTCCGAACCTCGGATGTCTCGGATCTTTCGGCGGTGGAGAAACCTCCCTTTAGTAAACCTCCCTTCAGTGAGAACGGCCTGGGACCGAAACCGACGGACCTGGACCCGCAAAAAGGACGGCCGCGACGCCCTCTCGCGAACCCAGAACGGCCAATTCGCTAATCGACGTGTCAGAGTAGGAGGTCTGTCCACCCCCCACCGTCCTGTGCTGGGACCAAACAATACCAATACCGCTACTCCCCAGACCTCGCGTGCGCTTTCTGACCAGATTTTCAGCGGCGTCGACGAGGGCCACCCAAGAGACCCAAAAAGTACTAACACGAGGCAAGTGTAGCAATGTGGGCACCTTGCCCTTCTCCGACCGAGAGGCCCAAAACTGAGAAGAACAACCGTCCTGATTCTTCCACGACGCGAACATGCCTGGTGTTCAACCCATTACTCGGCTCTCCCGTGGCCGTCCGGGACGATCGGGGCACTCCCGCGACGCCCTCGGCGAGGCGCAGCTGCTCGAGAGCATCCCGAGCCCTCGAGAACCGACGAAGCCCAGAAACCTCCCCAGAGCCCCGACGTCATGATCTTTCATAACGTCGACCCCCAGAAGGTCTCGACCCCTTCCCTGGGACCAGCTTTTCGTCCCGCGTCGCTTTTTGGCGCCCCTGAGGCCCGGGAAGGGCCCCCAGGTGCCGAAAATTGAAAAAAACATTCCGTCGCGGCCTCTTCATGCCTCGCGGGGGGTCTGTGGACGAAGACTTGCAAGCACCCCCCGTCCTGCCTGTGGAGCGAGCTGCGGAGGGTCAAGGGCGGCATTGGCCCGGGGGGCCCCGGGCGGCCTCGTGGACCTTCGCGGAGGTGGTCTCGGCGGCCTCCACCAGCTTCCTGGGCGTGGGAGGGGCCCCAGAGCGCGGCGGCTCCGAGCAGGGCTGACGTCAAGCGGTGTTTTCCGCTGTCGTGTCGCGCTTCGTTCCTCCGCGGTCTGCCCTCGCGTCACCTCGAAGGCAAGACGGAGAGCGAGAAACCGAACCGCCCACGAGGAGGAGGAGGAGGAGGAGGAAGAGGAGGAAGAGGAGGAAGAGGAGGAGGAGAAAGAGGAGGAGAAAGAGGAGGAGGAGGAGGAGGAAGAACGAAGACCCAAGCACCGTCTTGTAAGTCCAGCCCTGGCTTCCAGCGCCCACCCCGCAGCGCCTCGGCGCGCCTCGCCTCGCCCCGCGCTACCCATTGGTGAGGGGGGGGGGGGGCGGAAAGGGTAGGATTAAATCGGGCCTGTCCTCCTACAGGTGGATCTTGGACGAAAAGTTAGAAATAGTCCAAAAACGCACCCAAATGGCCAACAAATACTACAAGAATCGTCGCTATACTATTGTTGACTATTTTTGCAGATTCCCCCTGTAGAGGGACAGGCCCGACTTAAGGGTAGGCCAGCAGAGGGCATGGCAGATACTCAGATTACGTACAGTCGGCCTTGATTGGACAGGGCACGCGAGAGGACAGAAGACCCTTCAGGGGGCCACGTTGCCACAGAAATGCAGGAGGCATGGGTCGCAAGGCACAGGACACGAGGCTACCCTTGATCTGGCAGGGTCGACCTACTAATCTGGGCCACCTGTACAGCTGGCTTTCCTGGCGCTGGAGGCTGGAGGAGAGAGAAGAGAGGCTGGCTGGAGGAGAGGAGACGAAAGGGTAGTACAGCAAAGGGCAGGGCAGCGAATCATCTCACGTAGCTGGCTTCCCTGGCGCCTCCTGGCGCTGGAAGGCGCCCATGCATCGAGGGATGGGCCTTGCGGCGGGGCGGAATCCAGCTGCAGGCAGCAGATTCCGTACCCCCCCCCTCTTTCGCATGCATCGAGGGATGGACCTGGCGGCGGGGCGGAATCCAGCTGCAGGCAGCAGATTCCGTACGCATCCCCCCCTCTTTCGCTATCCTGCCCCACAATCGGGCCAGATCCCCCACCCTAGCTCCCGCTCAAGATGCGCAGATCCCCGCAGTTGCGGATAAGAGTGTGGGGGCAGCATTCGCAATCCCAAGATTTTGGTCGGTGCTCAAGCTGGGCTGAGCTACAGCCAAATCTATTTACATCGGTTCACACACATAAGCGTGTGTATCTAACGATATCTATATATACACACACATATATATATATGTGTGTGTATATCAGGCACTCACCAGCACACAACGTTGGAGCGCGTGATTGCAAGGGCGACGGCATGGAAACAGCATCAATAAAATCATCACATCCAACCACGTCTGCATCTGTTTCGTGTCATAGTGTCAACCTGACTATTATCAAACAGGACGGGACGCAGCAACGAATATCATCTGAAGACTGTTCACTCTTGTCTGCTGGCGTGTAGCCCAAGGCATATCATTATCCCAAACTCTCGATACCAGCCCTCCCGAGGGCGGAACACCGCCAAGAAACCACAAGCACGCCAGAAAACCTAGAACTAGGTCGGACATGCCCCCCTACAGGCGGATTTTAGAAGACAACTGGTACTGAGTCACAAAATAATCAAAACTTGTCAAACAATTGTCAACAACTCTTCTCCAGACTATCTAAAAACTACTTGTGAAGATTGCTCCTGCAGAGGGACACGCCCGACTTAAACCTAGAACCTCGAAGTCCGAACCTCGGATCTCTCGGACCTTTCGGCGGTGGACAACCCTCCCTCTCGTAAACCTCCCTTTCGGGAGAACGGCCCGGGACCGAAACCGACGGACCTGGACCCGCAAAAAGGACGGCCGCGACGCCCTCTCGCGAACCGAAAATGACAAATTCTTTAATCGACTCCTCCTCCTCCTCCTCCTCCTCCTCCTCCTCCTCCTCCTCCTCCTCCTGCTCCTCCTCCTCCTCCTCCTGCTCCTCCTCCTCCTCCTCCTCCTCCTCCTCCTCCTCCTCCTCCTCCTCCTCCTCCGCCGCCGCCCTCCTCGTCTTCCTGCCGGAGGTCTGTCCACCCCCGACCGTCCTGTGGGGAGACCAAAAAATACCAATATCGCTACCAAAACATACCAATACCAATACCGCTACTCCCCAGACCTGGACCCGCAAAAAGGAGGGCCGCGACGCCCTCTCGCGAACCGAGAACGGCCGATGCGCTCATCGACGTGTCAGAGTAAGGAGGTCTGTCCACCCCCGAGCGATTGGGGGGGGTCGACGCAGTCCCACTGAGCCGACCCCCCCCCCCGAGCGTCAGGTCGGGCATGTCCTCCTGGAGGCGGACGTGGGAGGATTTGATAGAACATAGTCAACACACGCTCGAGAGTACAGTTGAGAAATCACCGAGCATCGCCCCCAGGCGAACCTTCCTCTCGTAGAGGGACCACTGAGGGCAGGAGGCCGCCGGTGGAGGCCGCCGGTGGAGGCCGCCGCCGCCGAGGCCGCCCTCCAGGGGGGGGGGGGCGTTTTTTTGTTGAATCGTTTCCCTGCATAACCTCGGTCCGACTGGAGGAGGAGGAGGAGGAAGAGGGAGGAGGGAGGAGAAAGGATTAGGAGGGAGGAGGAGGAGGAGGAGGAGGAGGAGGAGGAGGAGGAGGAGGAGGAGACCCTCGAACCCTCCCCTGGTGGAGGCCGCCGCCGAGGCGGGAAGCTGGCGCCGACCTCCAGGGGGGCCTCCGAGGCCGCGGAGGGGGGGCTGCGCCCCGAGGGCCCGAGCCAACACCCCCCCGTGCGAGCCCCCCTATGGGGGCGCCCGCCTCCCGCGGGTGCCCGCACGCGCCACGGCTGCGCACGCCCCCCTATCGTGGATCCTCCCTTCCTCGTCGTCCTCCTCCTCCTCCTCCTCCTCCTCCTTTCCTCCTCCCTTCCTCCTCCTCCTCCTCCTCCTCCTCATCCTCCTCCTCATCGGCTGGAGGCGGGCCCCCTGCCAGGAGAGCCGCGCCGAGGCGGGCTTCAGCTCCCCCCAAAGGGATCGGTGGACCTTCGAGGTGTAGAGGCAATCCTGGACGAGGTCGGAGTACGGTGAGGGCGTTGACTCAAGGAGCCCTACATAAGGAACGGGGCCCCTCTCTCCCCTGAGTTGACCTTCGAGTTCCCATTGAAAACCTCAGGAAACCGGAGGGCAAACTGAAGAACTATCAAGGAAGACAGAGCCCCTCCCCAACGAAAAGGGATCCTTCTTCAGGGCCGCGACTGTAGATGGGGTCGGAGGATCGCGCCGCATCGCCGATACATCGGCGATGCATCGGAGGTGCATCGGCGACGTCGGCGATGCATCGGCGATGCATCGGCGACGCCTGCGCGGGGAAAACCGGGCTCCTCATCGCGCCGACTCGGAGATGCATCGGAGATGCGGCGCGATCCTCCGACCCCATCTGCTCCGACACCATCTTGGCGACATAGCGAGCAGGTGATCAATTACATAACATATTTACCCCATAATTGATTATCGGTCGGATCTACGAACAAATACGTATAATGCGCCGTACATCTGTGGAGCATTCTACCCATTGCTCGTAGATTTGATGGGGAAGCAATTTTGGGGTGAATCAACTCTGTAGTCGATCCCCCCCTCGACCTCTCGGCGGCGAGCAAAGGGGGGAGGGAGCAGGAGAAGACCTTCTCAGAGGCGGCAGGGCTTCTCGGAAGGCCTCCCTGCCTTCTGAGGGGTTCTCGGCGTCTCCGGGGACGGCTCAGAAACCTTCTCGGAAGGCCAGGTTGGGCGCCCGACTTATCCGGGGCAACTCGGGTCCGGGGTAACTCGGGTTCGGATTCCCGAGAAAGGAACCCGAGTTGGCCCTGACCCGAGTTACCCCTGATGATGTGGGGCTCTGGACGCCCGAATTATCCGGGGCAACTCGGGTCCGGGGTAACTCGGGTTCGGATTCCCGGGAAAACGAACCCGAGCTAGCCCTGACCCGAGCTACCCCTGATGATTCGGGGCTCTGACCAGGGGTGTTCCGAGCCTTCTGAGCAGGTCCGCCCCTTCTCACTTCCCCCCCGGGCTCGCCGCCGATCACCGCTCCCTGTCCACACGGGCGTGGCCTATGGGCCCCCACTTGCCGATCTACCCCCCCAGACGGGGAGATTGTGGGCTTTCCCTTCGAGCTTCGAGGGCCACATCTCAACTGGGGTGGTGGGACGATGGGGATCGGGATGGGGATGGGGATGGGTTCAAAGATCGGGGAGACGTAAGACCCGGGTACGGGGGACTCGGAAATCCCCGACGAGGTCGTCAAAAAAATGACGAGGCCGAGCCTGCATTTTGACGAGGCCTCCCGCTGCAGACATCCCACAAAACTCCTCCTCGTCAAAATCCGAGTCGCGGTCGTCAAAAAACGATGGCGAACCCGAGTCCCGGCAAACCCGGGTCTTACGCTTCCCCGAAAAGATACTGACATCCCCCCGCCTTCCGCGCCGCGCCTGCCGGCGCTAGCACGCGCTGGCGAAAGCGCTGGCGCAAGCGCCCCTGTCATCGCGAAAGGTCACGACTGGAGCCCTGGCCCCCCATCTTCCTGCGGGCGGCACCTCTCGCTCTGGACCGATCTTCTGCGATGGCCCCCCCGGGAACAGAACCCGAGCGAAGACGCCTGGTGTGAAAACCTGCAGGACCCTGCAAGGTCCTGCACGCTGGCCCAGGTCAGTGCAGCCCTGGCTCTGCAGGATCCTGCAAGATCCAGCGCGATCCTGCTCGTCTCGCCGTCGCCGTCGCCGCAGCTGCTGCTCGAGGCCACCGCCGTCGCCGTCGGGCCCTTCGCGACGTTCGGCCCCTGGGGGCCCCCACCGGGCCTCGGGACCGTCCAGAAACGACTCGGGATGAAAAACCGGCCCCAGGGAATGGGTTCGGAGGAGGAGGAGGAGGAGGAGGAGGAGGGAGGAGGAGGAGGAGGAGGAGGAGGGAGGAGGAGGCAGGGAGGGAGGGAGGGAGCGAGGGAGGGAGGGAGGAGGGTCCCCGTCTCTTGAGCCCTGGCTTCCTCCCTCCTCCCTCCTCGCGGGCGGGGCGGGGCGGGGCGCCAGAGCTCTTCCAGCAGCTTCAGGCACTCTGCCTCGGACTCCTCCTTCCTCTGCGCCTGGGCCTGCTTCTGCGCCTGAGCACAGAGGAGGAGGAGGAGGAGGAGGAGGAGGAGGAGGAGGAGGAGGAGGAGCAACGCAACGCAAAGCAAAGCAAAGCAAAGCAAAGCAAAGCAAAGCAAAGCAAAGCAACGCAAAGAACTATGGGACCCAGTGTCTCTCCCTAGCTACGAGACCCAAACTGGCTGGATATAGGTGACTGCAGTGAGTCAGACTTCCAACGTGAAGAGCCCTGTCGGCGAGGGACGATCAAGCCTGGAGACGGCCCCAATGGAAGAGGAGGAGGAGGATGAGGAAGGGAGGAGGAGGAACAAGATGATGATGAGGCGGTGGTGGAACCATTGGGGGCCAAAGGCGATCGGGCCCATATGGAAGAGATGGAAGCAATCGGGGAAAGGAGCTGTGCCAAGTCTTCCCCTGCTACCTAGCTGCCTGCGGCGCTCGGCGCAGCCTGCCGCTGCAGCCGAGGCCGCTTCAGCGAGGAGGACGTGAAGAGAATTACAAAAAGACGCCGCCCGGGTGCGGGGGGGGGGCAGCGCGAACCCGCTGCCTCGAGATGACGCGCGGCGGAGATAAGAGTGCAGCAAGTGGAAAGGAGAGGGGAGGCGAAGAGGGGAAGAACACTCAATCGCGACGCTTGCAAAACACAAAGTATCATGACCACGGGTAGGCCAAGACATTGACCTTCTCCTGCCTCTCGTTGGGGGGAGGAGGAGGGGGAGAAGGAGGGAAAAGACCAGGGATGCGGAGGGGGGCTGGAGTTTCGAACTCGTGCTAACACGCCTGACCTCAGTGGCCACCCGTCCCAAGTGGCCTGGTCTGACAGTGGCCTATCTGAGCACGGCGTCGCACATTTGTTCTACCCGTGTCCTGCCACAGAAGACATCGAAGGACAACGACGCATCCCTGCTCGAACTCTTCTGGGACTCCTCTGGGCGTCTCCGACCCTAAAGACAATGGGAGTGGTAGCACTCGGCCTCTCCCGTGCTGCCCTCCCCAACCTTACCCTTCACCTTCTCCCTCAGCTCATCCGCCGCCTCTCGCGTTTCCCCGACCAACTTCCCAAACCTCCTCCCTCTTTCCTCCCTCTTCCTTCTACCCTAGTAAGTTTTCCACCTCCCTCCCTCTCTCCTCCTCTTCATCCTCCTACCAATCCCACACCATCGTTCTCCCTCCTCCGCCGCCTCCTCCTACTCCTTCTCCTCGGCTTAGCCCTCTTCCATACCTCGTCTTCCATACCCTCCCTCCCTCTCCCGTCTCTCTCTCTCTCTCTCTCTATATATCCCCCTTCTCTCTCTATGTATATATTCCGAATTATAAACTTTAAGAAGGCCAGGAGCCCCGGAAAGAGCGCCCCCCCTTGACCCCCCCCCAAAAAAACGAATTTCGAGTCCTCGGGCCTGTCTCGTGCGCCTTGGGTTCTCTCTGATGTTCGACTCTCCGGGCTCTCTTGGGCCAGCCTTCAGCCTCTTTGGGGCTCGTCTGGGGGCTCATTTGGAGCCGTCCTGGGGCTATCTTGACGCCTCAAGAGCCGATTGCAAGCGAAAAGGTGAGAAAACCAAAAACATTGTTCTTCCAATGGGTTTTCCTTGATTTCAATTATCTGGGCATTCTTCGGCCAGCCTTGGGCCTCTTTGGGGCTCGCCCGGGGACTCATTTGGGGCCGTCCTGGGGCTATCTTGACCCCGCAAGAGCCGATCGTAAGCGAAAGGATGCGAAGGCCAGAAACATTTATTTCCCAATGGGTTTACATTGATTTTCAATTCTCCGGGCATTCTTCGGCCAGCCTTGGGACTCTTCGGTGCTCGTCAGGGGACTCATTTGGGGCCGTCCTGGGGCTGTCTTGACGCCTCAAGAGCCGATCGTAAGCGAAAAGACGAGAACGCCAAAAACATAGATTTTACAGTAGGTTTTTATTTAATTTCAATTATTCGGGCCTTTCTCGGCCAGCCTTGGGTTTCTGTGGGCCTCGGCTTGGGCCTCTGTGGAGCCGTCCTGGGGCTATCGTGACGCCTCCCGAGCCGACCGGAAGCGAAAAGGCGAGAAGACCGAACACATCGTTTTTTCCAATGGGTTTGTACATTGATTTTCGAACCTCCGGGCCCTCTAGGGCCAGTCTGTGCCCTTTTTGGGGCTCGTCTGGGGACTCTGTTGGAGCCGTTCTGGGTCTTTCTTGATGTCTCAAGAGCCAATCGGTAGCGACAAGGTGAGAAGACCAAACACATTGATTTCCCAATGGGTTATCGCAAATGTTTAAAAAATTGGGCCCTCTGCTGCAAGCGTTGGGCCTCTGTGGGCCTCGGTTTACGCCTCTTTGAAGCCATCCTGGGGTCGTCTTGACGCCCCTCGAGCCAAACGGAAAAGAAAAACAAGAAAGCCGAACTTGTCGCATGGCACTGGCGCCTTTCAGGCGACAATGATCTTCAATTTGGCCGCGCCATGCTCGATCGCGATGGTTACCCATCTCCCGTGGATGTCCTGCGGCGGGCACGCGATGGCCTGAATGTGCCTCGCCTTGAACCGAGTGCCCACTAGGATGGCGCATCCAGCCGAGTTGTTAATGCGTGGGCTCCGATATCCATGTCCAAAATGAATGGCCGCGTGGTGCTCGTCCTGCTGAATGCGATATGTGGGCTGGCGGTGTGCTTCGGGATCTTCGTGCCCGGGCACGCGACGATCTGCGCGCGTCGCAACTCTGCGCTGACTTCCCCCCCGCGTGCGCCGACAAGGCTGCTGGGGTTGAAGACGGCGGGCGAAAGGATCGCCCGCGCCGTCGTCGTGGCGCCATCTCCTCGGGAGCACGGCGCGGTGGCGCGCTCGTTGCCGAGGCGGGCGCGCGCTGTCCGTCTGGCGCCCCCACCAGCCCCGCAGAAATCGCCAGGGCCGAGAGGGCCTTATATACACATAGATAGAGAGATAGATAGATAGATAGATAGATAGATAGACAGATACTATATATATATATATATATGTTGTCATCCCTCTCTCTCTCTCTCTCTCTCCCTTTTTCTCTCCCCTTCCCCCTCCCCCGGCAAGCGAGTCTGCCCCCCTCGCCCGCGAGCGGCTGCGATTTGCGGTTCTCGATCCCCGCGCACTAAGGGGGCCCGACCTGGGCCCACAGGCTCCCAGCAAGCCATTATTTGAGGCCTGGGGGGAGCTTCTCTTGTGTGAGCTGATTACCTGCCTTCCCCCCCGCGCTCTGACTTGCGGGGGGGGGGGGGGGGCAGGCTTCTTTAAACTTGCGGGAGGCTCGAACCCTCCAGGATCCACGCCTCCGACACCACGGGGCCCCCCGACAGAACGCAAGGTGGGGGTGGTGGCAGGGGTGGTTATTCGAGCCTCCATCTGAACTGCTAGCACCTCCCACTGGCCATGAAACGATCTGTCCGCATGAACTGCTGGCGGACGGAACGGCTGCCTGGCTTAAATCACGACTGTTGCTGCTTATGCCCTGCTGGCTGCCGGCATGGATGGGGCCTCAGGCATATACAATCCAGGCGCAACCACCGAGCAGCTCGACATCTTTGCGTCCGCTTCTGGCACCCGCTGCACCTGACAAACTCGCCCGCAAGAGTTGACCCGGGGGAGGTGCTTTTTCAAGGAGATGATTGAACGCTGCTTCGGATCAGGCCCGCTGTCGCTCTCTCTCTTGGAGTCGGCGGCCTCTTGCTGGACTGGCTAGTGTGTCCATCACAACATCTGAACTGCGGCGAACCTCCCTCGGATTTGCTCTGCAAGCACCTCCAGCGCCTGGACCCTTTTGGCCAGGTCGGGGGGAGCGGCGGCCCGCGCAGTGGTTTCGTCAGCTAGCTCGTCGGCCTCCTCATTGGCAAGGACCGCCCAAGCTCGATACTTCGCCCGCTCCGCGGGCGTGGACAAGTGGGACTTGACTTTGAAGTAGGAGATCTGGCCTGTCCGAGGGCCGAAGACTGACCAGCATTCCTGCCACAGCCGTCGGTTGGAAAGTTGCCTCCTACGGGGCCCCTTTCCTATGCCCTCTGACTAGATAGAGGGAATCTGCGACTGCTCCCCTCATCCTCCTCCTCCTCATCCTCCTCGTCCCTTCCTCCTCGCCACACATGCACCGTATGAGTACTACTCTTCTCGCTTCTCTGACTCCGTCAGGAAGATGTCCACCCCTCTCCGCGCATTGCTCCTACGCACAATTTTGGACACACATTCGTATGGTGTTCCCGCTGCAGCGTGGGTCTCATTTAAGCGTCGGCGCTTTTCTCTCGCCGTTCAGAATGGCGCTCTCGCCCCAGCGCGGGCATCCGAATCCTTCCTCATCGTTGTCGCCCCGCCTTTCCCCTCCTCAGCCTTCCCTGGGTCCACCAGTTCTTCCGGTCTTTACAATCATACCACTTAGCGACTCAAAACTATCAATGTTATTGCCTGGCTCCTTCCACCCCGGTGCACCGCAACTGCTTTTCGTCCTCGTCCTCCTCATCTCCTCCTCTTCCTCCTTTTCCTCCTGCTCCGCTCCCCGTTCCCCTTGCGCATACCAGAACGGGGTCTTCGGGGGAGCTCTACGTACAGTCGGACTCGATTGGACAGGACACGCGAGAAGACACAAGACCCTTCCGAGGGCCACACTGCCCCAGGGATGCAGGAAGCATGGGTCGCGAGACGCAGGACACAAGGGTACCCTTGATTTGGCACGGTCCACTTACTAATCTTGTGTCGGGCCTGTCCCCCAGACAAGCCAATTTGGAATGGAAAATAAAAAAGATACCCCAAAAATGCCCGATTTGTCATCAAAAAATTGTCAGCAAATAGTTACCAGACTATGTTTTCACTATTTTTGAATTCTCCCCCTGTAGAAGGACAGGCCCGACTTCATACTAATATGGGCCGACTGGATGATCGCGATGTCACGCGCCCGCGGACAGTGGAGCAGCCACCGCAGTGGGAAGGGGGGGTGGGTGGGAGCGGTGGGACGGCAGATGTGGCTCGAGCGCACACAGCGCGCCTCTCCTCCTCCTCTTCCTCCTCCTCCTCCTCCTCCTCCTCCTCC